TTTTTTTTTTTTTTTTTTTTTTTTTTTTTTCAGAAGAAAATATTACTTCAGCCAGCTACGGAGTCGATTTAATGGACGAAGTTTCAAAATTTAGTGAAAATTTAACACGAAATAATTAAGTAATAAATAAATAATTAAATTAAATTAGCGAGCCGACATATCAGGATTACTTAAAAAAAAATAAAAAATTGTCAACAATTAAAATTATTAATTAATTAATTAATTAATTAATAACTTATAAAGTAATTATTAAAAATAGCGTAATTAAATATATATATTTAAATATGTTATTTATTTAGACTTTTGGTCAACTCTTGGCGGGATCGGCATTTAATAAAAAAAATTAAATTAATAATAAAAAATATCCGCTAAGATCAATAGTATTATTTTTACAGCCGTGCGCCAGTAGTTATACCATTGTCGTACTTAATTTATTTTTTTAGATTCAAATATTTATAATATAATTATTAGTTATTATTTTTATTTTTAATAATTAAATATTATATATATTATATATATATTGAAATAATCTTGAGCATTATTAGTGTAATTTTTTTAGTCGCATTTGTACAGAACACACAAAAAATAATTGACTTTAACTAACTATGTTTACTTTTAATTAGTCATTGCATGGCTTTTTAATTGGACCAAATATATAGAATTAATTATCAGTACGGTCTATAAAAAATAATTTTTTTTTTAAATTGTTTATTTTAAAAAAAAAAAACCAAAATTTGAATCTACTTGTTTTTTTTTTTAAATTTTCAATTTTTGAAAAAAAAAACTTATTAATATTATTTAAAAAATTAATTTACAAAAAAAAAAAAAATTTTTGTGGACTGGAATCGAACCCGGTACTTTCTTAATGGCATTAATTTCTGTCAAAAAATTTTTAACACTACAAATTAAGACAAAAGTAACAAAAAAAATTTGAAATAAAAATTAAATAAAAAAAAAAAGAATTTTGGTGAAAAAAAAAACAAGTAGATTTAAAAAAAAATTATTATTTTAAAAACAAAGGTGCTACAAAATAAAAAAATGTAGCTTATTTGATATTATATTATTTATTAACCGTTGAACGACTATTATAATTAATTAATATATTTTGTTTTGTTCTGAAAATGAAAAAAAAAGGTTTTGTTAATTAATTTAAACTGAGATTATTTATTAATGGTTGCTAATACAATGACTAAAATGCTTATTGTAGAAACTAAGATATATTTAAAGAAGTAGATACCTCTGTAGTTTGTATTATAAAGTAAACTTTTATTGTTTTTTATAAATAATTAACAACAATAGTTGTAATTATAAATTATTCCGTATTTAATATAATATATATATATGTATACAAATATATATATTAACTTGTTCAAATATTAATAATTGATAATAAAATTAAGTTAAAATAATTATTACTATAATTATAAATAAAAGGAATTGCTGAAGTGCTAATTAGACTCATGGTAATAAATTCGTATTTATCGTATACTTTAAAGACTGTGGAAAAATAGATGTATAAATGTTTAGATAAATAAATTATTGACATCATTAATTAATTTTATGTTTATTATTATCATTATTATTATTATTACCCTTTAAAAAATAAATATAAAAAAAATTATAACTTTTTAAAGTCTAAATTTAAATTTTCGCGCCAAAAATCTTTTGGCGCTAAATTTAAAATTTAAATTATTTGGTTTTATTTTTTGCCATCAGAGGCGCTGAAACTCGAGTTAATTCAAGCTTCTGCGCTCTTCGCAGTCGGTAAATTAAAACTCGAGAAATGTCAACACAACTTTACAGTGAAATTTAATAGTTTTATAAGTTTATTAATTACTTTTAATTAAATAACTAGTTAGTTAATCATATAAACTCATTAAAATGAAGTTAATTTTGGGAGTTTTATTTTTATGTACTTATGTGAGTCATTCACTGACATTGGAAGTAAGTAAAATTTTTTTTTGTATTTTTAGGTTACAATGTTATTGTTTAGTAAATGTCAGAAATATTAAAAAAAATAAATTTTAATAAATAATTTTGCATTAGAAAATTTCAAGTCAAGATTTTAATGATCATTTTTTATAATTTACACTTGTTTATTTTTTTTTTTAAATTACCTGTCAAAAAAATTTGAAAAATTATTAAATGTCAAAATCAATATAATTTTTTTATTCAATTTTTGATAATTTAAATCCAAAATGTCAAATTTCTTAAATAAATAATTTAGAACTAGAAAATTTTCCTATTAAATAATTGTCATTTTCTATAATTTACACTTGTTTAATTTATTTTTGACATTACCTGTCAAAAAAACTTAAAAAATTGACAATTAATATCAATATAATTATTTTAAAAAATTTTCAATAATCAATTAACTAAATTTATTTAGCTAAATTGACAAAATGTGAAATATTGAAAAAAAAAAAATTAGATCTAGAAAATTATACCATTAAATTTTAATTATTATTATATTTTTTCATATTAATTTATCTCAAAATTTTGTATTACCAATGTGTATAAAGCCGATTGACGTAAAAATTAAAAAAACAATTTTTTTTAAATAAATAATTTAGAAATATAAAATTTTTAATTGAATTTTAATAATCATTTTTAAAAATTTCTATTTTTTTTTTTTTAATTAATTTTGTCGTAGCCTTTTAAAAAATCTTGAAAAATTATTAAATGTTAATATAATTATTAAAAAAAAAATAATTAATGATTAATAATAATAAATAAAAATTCCAGGCAAATCCTCAAACCGGTCACTCAAACAACTGGGCAGTTCTAGTATGCACATCAAGATTTTGGTTCAACTACCGTCATGAAGCGAACGCGCTGTCAGTGTACCACAGCATCAAGCGCCTGGGAATCCCCGACTCCCAAATAATCCTGATGTTAGCAGACGACATGGCCTGCAATCCCAGAAACCCGCGACCTGCGACAGTCTTCAACAACGTCAAGCAGCACATAAACGTCTATGCTGACGACGTGGAGGTAGACTACCGGGGATACGAGGTCACTGTCGAGAACTTTGTGAGGCTGCTGACCGGCAGACTGCATCCAGGAGCTCCGAGGTCCAAGCAGCTGCTGACTGACGAGCGCTCCAATATTTTCATATACTTGACAGGTCACGGCGGCAACGGGTTCCTCAAGTTCCAGGACTCTGAAGAGATCACCAGCCAGGACTTGGCTGACGCTCTTGAGCAGATGTGGCAGAAGCGCAGGTACCATGAAATTCTGTTCATTGTCGACACTTGCCAGGCTAGCTCCATGTACGAGAAAATTTACTCGCCTAATATTTTGGCTATCGCTAGCAGTAAAGTTGGAGAAGATTCCTTGTCGGTAAGTTATTATTATTATTATTTTCAAAAATTATTATTAATAATTAAACAATAGCTTATTTATTAAAGTTTTGAATTTTTAAGAAACAATTCAAGATTCTGGGTTAAATATTAAAAATATGAAAAAATTATGTCAGACCTTCTTTGAAGACAATTTTATTCTTTATAAAAAAAGATCCTTATCAATTTTGTTTTATTTCTCTTCCTTTCTTAAGAACTTGAATTTAAAGTAAAAAAATATAGTTTCAAAACTTATCCGTAGCTTTCAAAAGTTTAAATTGCTAATTTTTGTTAAAATATTGAAAATAAAAAAAAATGATAAGTCACCTTTTTTTTAAAGATTTAATTTTCTACAAAAAAGATCCTTATCAATTTCGCTTTGTCTTTCTTTTTTTATTCAAATTTTGGATTTAAAGTCAAGAAAATGAAGTTATAGAACTTATCTTAGGTTTTCAAAAATTTTAAATTGCTAATTTTGGTTAAAATATTGAAAATACAAAAAAATAATGAGAAAGCTTTTTTATTATGAATTTCATTGTCTAAAAAAAAAAATTCTTATTAATTTTGCTCTATCTCTCTTTTTTTCTTAAAAATTTGATTTTAAAATGAAAAAATAAAGATTTAAAACTTATCCGTAGCTTTCAAAAGTTTAAATTTCTATTTTTGGCTAAAATATTTAAAATACAAAAAATTACATTAGATATTTTTTTATAGAGAATTTAATTTCCTATAAAAATTTCTGATCAATTCCGCCCTATCTATTATTTTTTCTCTAAAATTTGAATTTGAAGTCAAAGAACTTACTCGTAATTTTCAAAAGTTTAAATCACTAATCTTAGCTTAAATATTGAAAATACAAAAAAAAAATGGTGATTCACCTTTTTTTTTAAATATTTAATTCTCTACAAAAAGATTATTATCAATTTCGCTCTGTCTCTCTCTTTTTTATCCAAATTTTGGACTTGAAGTCAAGAAAATGAAGTTATAGAACTTATCCGTAGTTTTCAAAAGTTTAAATTGCTGATTTTGGGTAAAATATTGAAAATCCAAAAAAATAATAAGAAACCTATTTTATTAAAAAAGGTCCTTATAAATTTTTACCGTCTTAATTCATTTTCCAGCATCATGTGGATCCAGATATAGGTGTCTACATTATTGACCGCTACACATACTACGCTTTAGATTTTTTGGAAAAAGTCGAGCCTTCAAGCTCTAAAAAACTTAGTGAATTTGTAAGTAACTAATAATAATAATTTAATAATCATTGGTGATGATTAATTATCATTTAATATTTTTATTTTAGTTGAAAGTCTGCCCAAAACACTACTGTTTATCAACAGTAGGCGTTAGACGGGACCTATTCCGTCGAGACCCAGAAAAAGTTCCAGTGACAGACTTCTTCGGGTCCCTCAGGCCAGTGGAGCTGACTGATACCATTGTTACCATTATTCCTACCAAAGGAAACAGAACTCGAAAGACTGAAATTGAGCGCAAGCTTCACTACACTCCACAATTTCCAGATGTTACTTTGCTATCTTGAATATTCAATATTTGATAAGCAAATAGAATAATTTATAGTAAATGTTGATTTACTTTATTAAAAAGTTTTTTTTTTTTTATTGTATATATATGCTTTTCAAAGCTATCAATCGGCAAGTAATCAATCATGAGTTACAAAAAAAAATTTAATTTAATTTAATTTTGTAAAATTAAATTTTTACAAAAAAATTTACACACACAAGATTAAAATAATTTTTATTTGTAAAAACTAAGAAACAAAATCAAACTATAAAGTTAAAAATAATTTTCAGTTAGTTTAAAATAATAGAGTGATTAACAAAAAAATTTATTTTATTGTAAAAAAGCGTGGGTACTTATCAAGAGCTTTCATTTGAGTACCCACATGCATTTTGATATATTTTTCATATATACATATATATAAAATATATAAATATATGAAAAATTGATGTGGGTACTCAAATGAAAGGTCTCGATGAGTGTGACGTCAGGATGAGGTTATATCTTTAAAAATGTCAATAGTTCACGAGATACAAGGTCATTTCTAAATTATTGAGATTTTTAAAGATATAAGCTCATACTGATGTTAATCTCATCAAGACCTTTCATTTAAGTACCCACATGGAAATTTTTATATATTTTATATATATAGTATTTGTGAAATATATAAATATATAAAATATATACGTCAGGATGAGGTTATATCTTTAAAAAAATGCAATAGTCACGAGATACAAGGTCATTTCTAAATTATTGAGATTTTTTAAAGATATAAGCTCATACTGATGTTAATCTCATCAAGACCTTTCATTTAAGTACCCACATGGAAATTTTTATATATTTTATATATATAGTATTTGTGAAATATATAAATATATAAAATATATGAAAAATTGATGTGGGTACTCAAATGAAAGCTCTTGATAAGTGTAACGTCAGTATGAGCTTATATCTTTAAAAATGTCAATAGTTTACGAGATACAAGGTCATTTCTTAAGTATCTATCTGAAGATCGAGCATTTTTGAATGCAGCCTAAATACTTATCATAATTATATAAAACCTTGAAAAAGCAAAAATTCAAGTCAAAACCTTTGCAACGATACCAAATTTAACCATAAAAACCTATTTTATCATATAAATACACTGACCACAAAATTATGCTTATTCTCTTAATAATATAGATTATTGGTGAAGATAGCAATAGAACAACAATTATACATCTATTGTTTTCAAACATTATTTAAACTTTATTTAGCATCAAAATAAAATCTTCAATCTAAGATTGAGGTTCTAGAAATTGATTTTATAATTATTTGTAATCACACTGATTCTTCTGATAATTGTAGCAAAGGCCAGGTTGACAAGAAAAAGAATATTTTAAAAATCCTCCACGACCATCATGAGAACAAGCAAAATACCCACAGGAAAAAGAGTCTGCAATATTACCAACTTTAGTACACACATCCTTAGAAACTGAAGCTGGTTGTTCAGGCTCATTGTTCTGAGAATCATCCAGGTCAGGTTCATTTTCCTGAGAGTTATCAACCTCGGCAGGTTCTTCCTGGGACACTTCTTTACCACTACGCAGAACAGCATTAAGAGTTTTAACCAAGGGATATTTTTCTCCACAGACGCCGTTGAAGTCATCAACGTCTATAGCCCAGACCATGGCGCCACCTAGGCCCATTTTCTTGACAAACTCAGCCTTGGCCTTGATCGATTTAACATTGTCGAACCCGACCCACTGGTTGCCTTTGTAGGCCGATACAGCTTCTCTTTCTTTGTTATAAGAAATTTTCCAGCCGCCTTTTTTTTGCATCTCGCAGATTTCTTGGTATCCCAGGTATCCTTCCTGCCCAGTGTAGGGTCCAGCGGATCCAGGCCCTGAAGTAGCGGCTCCTAGTCCATTGCTTCTGGGGTTTGAGAGGGTAAATGTGCGCCCGTAAGTTGGAACTCCGAGGATTAGTTTCTTTTTTGGTGCACCTTTGGATAACCAGAAGTTCACTGCTGCTTCCTGGAATAAGTAAATTATTAATTTAATGGTAACTAGAATCTATTAGAGACTATTTGCAACATGTCATACAATAAAAATACTTACAGAATTCAAGTAGCGGTCTTGATCACCTCTACCCACGTGCAAAGGAGCATTGTGTCCCGTCCTTGGCTCCCAGGACCCATGAAAATCGTACGCCATCAAATTTATTAAGTCCAAGTACTTACTGATCTCTGGGATATTGTAAGCCCTGGAAGCTTTATCTCTTCCTGCGGCTACAGCAGCACTCAGCAACAACTTATGCTTGCTGAATTTATACTTCAAGACCTTCAGAAGTTCTACAAAATTGTCATAGTCTTGAGGACTACCACCGTCCCCTGCAACAGGATACTCCCAATCGACGTCCAATCCGTTGAACTTGTATTTCTTCAAGAACTGCACTGCGTTGTTCGCGAACTCTATCCGGGACTTGTGAGTTTTAGCCATTTGTGAGTATTTTGGTGTACCTTCATTCCATCCACCAATTGCAAGCATTGTCTTGACACTTGGATTTCTAGCTTTCAGCTTTTGAAAACGTTGGAATCCATTTTTGTTACCAGGTTTTAAAATTTTTATGTTATTGCCATTTAATCCCACAAATGAGTAAATTAAATGGGTGCAGAGTTTCGGGTCGATGTCTTCTATCTCAAATTTTCCATTTCCTTTACGATAATTCGACCAAGATGTGTAATAGCACACAATTTTTTCTGAAAGTTAAACAGGTTTGTTATTTTATAATTTTTTTTATTGAAAATTTTTATACAAAAAAATATCACTTGTAAAAAAATTGTAAAACTTTAGTTATAAGTGCAATTTTTAATAAATATTTTTTTGTTCCAATTTAAGAAACAAAATAATTAATTAAAAAATTAAAAATGTTGGCGAACTTTAGTTTTATTGTCATTAAAGTTAGCAGTCACTTGAACATTTTAAAAATTTTTTTAACAATTAAATTTGCTCCAAAAAATTATTAAAAAAAAAATTGCATTTTTAATTTAAATTAAAATTTAAATGAATTAAAAAATCTCTAATGTCTGTCAATTTCAGTGTTGTAAACATCTGACAATTTTTATAATTTTTCTTCTTAAAAAAATTATTTTTAGAAAAATTTCATATGTAGAAGATTTGAAAAATTCTAATTGCAATTTTTTAAAAGTTTTTTTTTTTTAGTTTTGATTTAATTAAATTGAAAAAATAAAATTAATCAATTAATTTATACTTACTTTCAGCAGCGCAAGCTGTGAAGTACAACACAGCTAACGCAATGAAGATTTTCATCGTTGCAAAACTCGTAGCCAGTCGAAAAAATTTTTAATAATTTTTTATAGAACTCCATTGTATTTATAAGACTCTGTTGCATCATATTTATTTATTTGAAGTCTTAGAACATCAAGTGTTAATATTTGTTCCAATTGATAGGTTAGTATTTATCTGATTTATTAGATTTTGATTGGTATCACATTTGATTAATGTTTGTTTGCTTTAAAGTAAAAGAAAATATGACGTATAAAATTATCCAACATTTTTTTTTAATATGATTACGTAAAGCTAAATGAAAGCAAATTACACTATATTAAATTTATAAAACTAATTTTATTGATAAATTTTGTTATTTATAAACATTTCTTCAAAACTAAGAAGATATATTAATTAAATAAAGAAGAAAATTAATTCATGATGCAATAAGTTATATATATTTTAGAATATCATTACAGAAGCCAGAATTTTCCATACAATAATAATAATAATAATTTTTTTTTTTTCAATTATTTTTTTTTCCATTCACAACTGTCCGATTCTTCATCGTAGCAAGTATTATGAGGACAATCAAAGGAAACTTTTCTATATTTATTTTTTGTAACCTTAGAGCATGAAAAAAATCCACACTTTCCATTTGGAAGGTTTTTATTATCTTCAGTACATTCTGGACCTGTATCTGAATCATCTTGGTCGTCCGTGTTGTTAGAAGCGCCAGAACTTGCATCAGCTGCAACATATGGAAAAATGAAGATTAGTTTCATTAAATAAATTGAACCTAATTACTAATTTCATTTCTTCTCCAGGACTACCATGAGCAGAAGATTCGGCAGTATTACTCGATTCCATGGACTTAGGATCCTCAACATTGACAAACTCAGCTTTGAAGTACAAAAAATGAAGGTTAGTTTCATTAATCGAATTGAAGCTTATTACTTATTTAATAAATTACTTACAGTTATCATCGGAAGGGTAGGCCGCGGCCAAACAAAGAGTCGCCAGAAGAATAATGAAACGCATCTGGAATAAAAATATAATGATCAGTTAATCTATTTCTTCTTTCTAATCTAGTCAATTGAAACAAGGCAAGTTTTATTAAAAGTAACTAGTTTTTGGAATTTAACGACGGATAATTAGCAAAAAATTAACTAACCTTGTTGCTCAGAAGTAAACTGCTGATGTAATAAATTCCCAGGGTGTCCCGCGCTATTTATACAACTCGCTATCATATTCGCGAGGATGGCGAAAACAAGATTTATTGATGATTGCAATAGTCCACATATCGGTATTTGTTCAATCAAATTTATTTCTTTTTACAATAAAATACTTAACTCCATCGAAATTGATAACCGACAGATTGATTTATTGGATTCATTCTTGTTGGTTGATAAATTAACTATTAAAGATTTGGAGATTAAAAAAATATTTATTTATTTAATTTGTTTTAGGCGAGTGAGAATAATTAACAACCGAAACCGCAACAGAGGATCAAAAAATTGTAACTTTGAGCAGAGAGGACTTTTAAGGTTAAGATTGTTTTAAGGGTCAGTTGCAGAAGGGCAGCCATTGTTGTGATTGTTACCAACCGAAAAGTGTAAGTCGAGTGTAAACATTTGACACGCGCAGGTGTGCAGCGTAAACATGTTTATGGATAATAGCAGTCAAATATATTATTAAAGGTTCAGATTAATACAGAGAAAAATTATATACAAATTTTTCTAAAGCTCAAGTTCCGGACTATGTCATGCGAGTGAGTGCTGCAGTTGCCAGCTAAATTTAGTGTAAGGCTAGATAGAAAGGAATTTCCTATACCGAATCTTATCAAGGACCTTGAGTTTGGAATCATGAGAGTCAAGCCAACTGACATGTGTGATGAAGAGCTTAAGACATTACGTAATAATATTCGGGCCAGAGGAGTGTATGCATAATAACTAAATTCTTTAATAGTCATTTAAATAAAAGAATAGATGGGAATATTAGAGCAATGATAAAGGATATCTGGAAAACTAGAAGATTCCTTAATGGAAAGCTTAATTGGATAAAATAAATTAACACAAGAATAAATAATAGATCTGTATTAACCTGAACCTTTAATAATATAATTTTCTGGGATCTGATTATTTGGATAGCAGTCAAATATTATAAAATAAATACAACAGGTGAGTGATTTAATTGCGTAAGTTTGTTATCTTATAAAAATATAGTTTTATAATGTTTTGATTTATTGTTTGAATCAGTGTTAACCTACAAATGCGATCAAAGTTAGAGACATAATTTTACAAATTAAAAACCGTCGTATGGAAATTGACTTTTAGCCCAAGGTCTTCTTTGAAGAAGAAGAAGAAGACATTCCAGTCACCATAATCCTTTATAAAAATGAAAAATAAATATTTTTAATAAAATTAATAGTATATTGTGTGACTAGGGATGAAACAAAACGATTTCAGACCAGAGTGAAGTTGCCTGCCCGAGCGAAGCGAGGGCTGGCATCACTCGGTCTGAAATCGTGTTTCATCCCGCGTCACACATTATATTTTTCATATAAGTTGCATTAAAAATGCTAGTTCAATGTCTGGAGCCAACCGGAACTAGATAGTTTCAGACGAATAGCGAAAATACCATTTTATTATAAAATTTATAATAAAATAGAAAGTAATAGTTTATTTTTTATCAAACATTATTCGTAAATTGAATAGTTTTATTTTGTCATCCTTATTTATGCTTAATAACAGAATTATAATATGTCAGCACAGTTAATGGTTAGAATGAGAATTATAAAGGTATAAAATAAAGAAACAATTGGTAGGATTGAAAATAAAGCTGCAACTTCATCTCGCGGGCAGTAATTCGTCATTTTCTGTCCGCCGGGAAGTAATAATTGATTACTGCCCGGCACAGTCGCATTGGTCTGAAATTGTCTAGTTTCAGTTGGCTCAACAGGCATTGAAACTCGCATTTTCAATGCAGGTTGTATGAAAAGATATTTATTGAGTAAATCATTTTTATTGGAAAGTAAATAATTATAGTATTTCTTCAACAAATATTCTTGGATTTAATAAATTTTTTATTTTTTTTTATCATAGAAATAATAGAGAAGAATATGTTAAACTGAAATCATTGACATCAATCATCATGAATACTTGGATTATTTGCTGTGATTGCTCTGGTTAAGAATACTGATTGAAAAAAATTGAAAAGCGATCACACCATGCAAACTGCATATATTTATATATAAGGTAAAAGGCGTCATTAGTGGCAGCTTTAACCCCTATTAATGGCACTTTTTCTTTCAATAAAAAAATATTCTGCTTGGAATAAAAATTAAAAATTTTTTCGATCTAAAGGTCTTAAAAATTAGAAATAATATATTTATTATTGAAATTAATGATTTCATTAATTGAATAACTACTAACATCAAAGAAAGTCTAAGTAATAGAGTCCCGCCACTAATGGGAACTTTTGCCTGAATGAAAAAAAAATATTGAGACAAAGAAAAAAGTATTGAAAATTATTAAAAAAAATTCGAATTTTATTATTTTTAATTCTTTTCAATCAATATTTTTAATCAGGGTAAATCTTTTGAATCATCCTCTTCATCTTCTTTGTCAATCTCATGTCATCCCTTGAAGAATCTGAAGTTACTGGAGTATTATCTTCAATTTGATGAACTTCTTTTTAATCACAAAAAAAAATACATTATTTTTAGATATGAAATTTAATTCACCGAAAGATTATTATTGCTTTGAAAATCTGGATTTATTAAAAGATTTTTATCATCTTCATAATCTAGAATAATCAAATTGTCACTTTAGGAGTATACTCTTCTTTTTATTTAATTTAATTTCAGTAAAAAAAAATCGTTTAAAAACTATTAGGCCTTGATTTAAAATTTTTTATTGGAATATCTTTATAAATTACATTACAATTCATTTTTATTTACATTCGGTACAACGAATAAGGTCAAGTTGGACATAACCAACAAAATAAAAAATCTCATAACATATTGAACAAAGATTCACAATGAAAGCAAGAAATTATAATCAATAGCAACCAAAATTATTAAAGAGTAATTATAATCTACAAATTCCTTCAATCAAACATAATTATTGTAAACTTTTTCAGAAATCTAATTGATAGTAATAAATCATTAAACTTTTTCAGGTATTTAGTGGTTCAATTTATACTTCCATTCGCAGAGGTCTTTTTCTGGATCGTAGCAAGTATGCTCAGGACAGGAATGACGATATAACACATGGAAGCTGCCGTCGGGACCTTCGGAACAATAAATAGATCCGCAAGTTTTTTCATCTACGAAGTGTCCCTTTCCGGTACACGGATTGGTGGTTGGCTCTTTAGAATAGTCACTATCGGTCTCTTTTTTTTCACCTTGACCACCTACTTCAGGATTGTATTCCTTGTTGTTTGATAACCCTTTACTACCCTTTTCTGCACCAACGTCAACGCTTTCCGGTATTTCTTCTTCAGGATTACCATCAGCAACTACTTCGCTAGAAGCGCCAAAAATTGCATCAGCTGCAACATATGGAAAAATGAAGGTTAGTTTCATTAATTGAATTGAAGCTTATTACTTATTTAATAAATTACTTACAGTTATCATCGGAAGGGTAGGCCGCGGCCAAACAAAGAGTCGCCAGAAGAATAATGAAACGCATCTGGAATAAAAATATGATGATCAGTTAATCTATTTCTTCTTTCTAACCTAGTCAATTGAAACAAGGCAAGTTTTATTAAAAGTAACTAGTTTTTGGAATTTAACGACGGATAATTAGCAAACAATTAACTAACCTTGTTGCTCAGAAGTAAACTGCTGATGTGATAAATTCCCAGGGTGTCCCGCGCTATTTATACAACTCGCTATCATATTCGCGAGGATGGCGAAAACAAGATTTATTGATGATTGCAATAGTCCACATATCGGTATTTGTTCAATCAAATTTATTTCTTTTTACAATAAAATACTTAACTCCATCGAAATTGATAACCGACAGATTGATTTATTGGATTCATTCTTGTTGGTTGATAAATTAACTATTAAAGATTTGGAGGTTAAATAAAAATATTTATTTATTTAATTTGTTTTAGGCAAGTGAGAAAAATTAACAACCGAAACCGCAACAGAGGATCAAAAAATTGTAACTTTCAGCAGAGAGGACCTTTAAGGTTAAGATTGTTTTAAGGGTCAGTTGCAGAAGGGCAGCCATTGTTGTGATTGTTACCAACCGAAAAGTGTAAGTCGAGTGTAAACATATGACACGCGCAGGTGTGCAGCGTAAACATGTTTATGAATAATAGCAGTCAAATATTATAAAATAAATACAACAGGTGCGCGAGTGATTTAATTGCGTAAGTTTGTTATCTTATAAAAATATAGTTTTATAATGTTTTGATTTATTGTTTGAATCAATGTTAACCTACAAACGCGATCAAAGTAGAGACATAATTTTACAAATTAAAAAATTGATGTATGAAAATTTATTTTTAACCCAAGGAAATTCTTAACTAGGCCCTTTTCCTTGGCAAACTGAGCCTTGGCTTTTATTGACTCGATATTGTCGAAGCTGATCCACTGGTGCCCTCTGTAGCCCCAGGGGACTCGTCTTTCTTCGTCGAAGAAGAAATTCCAGTCGCCATATTGTTGCATCTCGCAGATTTCATTGTACCCGAGTACTCCTCCGGACTGGGTGTAGGGACCAGGATCACCATAACCTGAAGCAGCAGCTCCAATTCCGTTGTTTCCAGGATTTTTCAGTGTAAATGAGTGTCCGTAGGTTGGAACTCCGAGGATTAACTTCTCCCTAGGCGCGCCTTTGGATAACCAGTAGTTGACTGCTGCTTCCTAGATTTTATAAAATTGGTAAGTCTTTAATGAATAATCCCATAATAAAATTGAGATGAAATGCATTCGGCATCAAACTATTGGGAACGTGATTGGTCAAATATATCATAAGCATGAAAATATATGCAAACTCTATAGTCAGGCGCGCGCTAATTTAAATTCTAGTTAGGGTATATAAAGTAACTAAATATTGATCAGGCAATACAACAATTTGATTTCAAAAAATCTAGTAATTTAATTTTATAGGATAATTCATAAAAAGCTAAATACTTACAAATGTAAATTTTTGCAGGTCTTCAGAATCACCAGGAGCAGCAAACAAAGGAGCATTATGTCCAGTCTTGTGATCCCAGAACCCATGAAAGTCATACGCCATCAGATTAATAATGTCCAGGTACTTGCTAATCTCCACAAACTCATAAGACTTAGCAGCTGAAGACTCAGCAGCAGCCACAGCAGCACTCAGTATCAATCCTTCTTGATCAAACTTCGGTCTCATTACTTTCAGAAGCTCCACAAAGTTCTGAACATCCTGGGATTTACCTCCGCGCTGGTTAGGGTACTCCCAGTCCAGGTCGAACCCATCAAAGCCCCATTGTTTGACAAACGTGACTGCGTTATCAGCGAAGCGCTCTCTGGATTCAGGATTGCTCGCCATTATTGAGTACTTCCTTGATCCTTCTTTCCACCCGCCAATTGCTACCAGAGTTTTCTATTTTAACAAAAGTCATTATATAAAAAAGCAAAATTTTATTTATTCATAGTTCACAAGTCAGTTCTTATTAGTTATTTTTTTTTGTTAGTTTAATTATTTAAAATTTTTGGATAAAAATTCTCAGAATAATCCCTTAAGACTATTATTATTAATTGTTTCAAACTTACTTTCGGCGGCGCAGACCATCAAAAACGCCAAGGCAACTAAAACTCGCATCTTTGGATGTTAAATTAAAATTCTAACGGTTTTATCAGCCGCGGGATTCTTATAAGATCCGTTATCGCCGATTTTACGCATAATAGATAGGTAGCGATAAAAATTATAGTTGCCAGAATATAATATATAACAGAATATCTAATCAAATTTAGGTGATAAGTATATTAGACTTTTTGATAACATTTTATAGAGTCGGTTTTTTTTTTTTTTATGACTTTTTAGTCTCTTTTATTCACCGTTCGTTTATTTTTTCATAGGTCAATGATTAACAATTATGCATGTTTACTTAGAATATTTTCAATTAAAAATAAAAATATATACAACTAGTGAATATCATCCCGTTATACTTCAGTAAATAAGCTACAAGACTTTTAATCTAATTTAAACAGATTAAATTCAGTATTTGTAATTCGGATCAAAGCCACAGATCATGGATACTGGATCGAAGCAAGTACCCAAGCCGCAACGCATGAAGTACTTTTTGTATTTTCCATTTCCAAGGGGCTGACAGGCGATATAACCACAGGACGCTGGATCTGGCATGTTTCCAGGGTGACGACACCTAACCTTACGGTTACTTTTTTTTGTAGGTCGACTTGTGGTAGTTGGAAGTAATTCTGTTGTAGAAGTAGGTTTTTCATCATCATCAGGAAGACTTGAAGTTGTTGTAACATCATCTTCATTGTTATTAATATCATTATTAGGAACATTTGAAGTTGTTGTAACATCATCTTCATTGGTATTAATATTATCATCATTAGAAACACTTGAAGTTGTTGTAAAATCATCTTCATTGTTATTAATATCATCAGGAACATTTGAAGTTGTTGTAACATCATTTTCATTGTTATTGATATCATCTTCATTAGAAGGATTTGAAGTTGCAGTAGCACCATCTTCTTTCTCATTAATATCATCATTAGGAACATTTGAAGTTGTTGTAACATCATCTTCTTTTCCATTAATATCATCTTCAGGAACATTGGAAGTTGTTGTAAGATCATCTTCACTGTTATTAATATCATCAGGAACATTTGAAGTTGTTGTAAGATCATCTTCACTGTTATTAATATCATCAGGAACATTCGAAGTTGTTGTAACATCATCTTCTTTTTCATTAATATCATCATTAGGAAAATTTGAAGTTGTTGTAACGTCATATTCATTGTTATTAATATCATCAGGGACATTTGAAGTTGTAGTAGCATTATCTTCTTTATTATCAATATCATCATGAGGAACATTTGAAGTTGTTGTAACATCATCTTCTTTTTCATTAATATCATCATCATCATCAGGAACATTTGAAGTTGTTGTAACATCATCTTCATTGTTATTAATATCATCATTAATCAGATTTGAAGTTGTTGTAACATCATATTCTTTTTCTTTAATATCATCATCAGAAAGACTTAAAGTTGTTGTAGTATCATCTTCATGAGAATCATTATCTCCACCATCTGGATTAATTAGTTTATCACCACCGTCAGAAGAATCTTTGTTCTTATCTTCGCTAGAATCTAAATTATTTAGATCCCCACCATTTTTACCATCATCATCATCTTCACTACTTCTCTTCACTTTATCAGCATCTAAATTACCTGGATCAACGAGAACTATAGGGTCATCATTTGCTTCTTCATAATCATCATCATTCACTGTAATATCACCTCTTCTAATAGAAACAGTTCTTGTTTCTTCATTCCCTCCAACAATTCCATTGTCGAAAGAAGCTAAAACCAAACAATAGAAACAATTGCAATTAATTTTACAAACATATAAATTATAATAATTACTCAGTTGATTAATTACTTACAATCTTCAAGTAAGTAGGCCGTAGCCAAACAAAGAGATGCTAGAACAATGAAGAAACACATCTGGAACAAAAAATTATCAATTATTATTATTTTTTTTTTCTTTTTATTATTATTATTAATTAATTTACCTTTTTCTTCAGAAGTTACTCGTAGATGTGATGAATTCCTTTGAAACACCATTCTATTTATGAGGCTCTATCACCACTGCATCAATAGTAAAAACAAAATTATTTATTAGCTGTTATCATACACAAGGTGCTAATATTTATTCTATCAAATTTATTTCTATTGATAATCAAATGATTGATAGAATCACATGTGGGATTTTCTATGAAATTTTAAATATATTTGCGTCACCTGAATTATTTACAAACTCCAAAAGTCCTTCTGGCGTCAAAGAAAACAATTTGGAACTAAAAAAAATTCAAATATAAACTATATATTTATATATAAGATGTACAATTGGATTTGGCGACCTCTTTTGAATTATTTTTTAAACATAATTTTAAGGTTAGAAAAGGTCGACATAAAATTTAGGTTAAATTTAAATACAAAGTATTGAAGTAATTATTTTCTTAATTAACAAATGTTTGGTAATTATTTTTTTTAAATCAATTTTCTATAAAAATAAATAAAAATTATTTTGAATACAATGAAGAAACACATCTGGAACAAAAAATTATCAATTATTATTATTTTTTTTTTCTTTTTATTATTATTATTAATTAATTTACCTTTTTCTTCAGAAGTTACTCGTAGATGTGATGAATTCCTTTGAAACACCATTCTATTTATGAGGCTCTATCACCACTGCATCAATAGTAAAAACAAAATTATTTATTAGCTGTTATCATACACAAGGTGCTAATATTTATTCTATCAAATTTATTTCTATTGATAATCAAATGATTGATAGAATCACATGTGGGATTTTCTATGAAATTTTAAATATATTTGCGTCACCTGAATTATTTACAAACTCCAAAAGTCCTTCTGGCGTCAAAGAAAACAATTTGGAACTAAAAAAAATTCAAATATAAACTATATATTTATATATAAGATGTACAATTGGATTTGGCGACCTCTTTTGAATTATTTTTTAAACATAATTTTAAGGTTAGAAAAGGTCGACATAAAATTTAGGTTAAATTTAAATACAAAGTATTGAAGTAATTATTTTCTTAATTAACAAATGTTTGGTAATTATTTTTTTTAAATCAATTTTCTATAAAAATAAATAAAAATTATTTTGAATAATTAAAGATAATTATTTAATAAATTTTGTGTTTTTTTTTTTCTTAGAAATAATAGAGATGAATATGTTAAACACAAATCATTGTTATCAATCATCATAAATACTTGAATTATTTGGTTTTATAGTTGGATCTTTTGAATCATCATCTTCTTTGTCAATCTTATGTTATCATTTGAAAAATTTGAAGTTACTGGATCATTATCTTCAACTTTATGAACTTCTTTACTCACAAAAAAAAAATATATTATTTTTAGGTATGAAATTTAATGAAAATTTTTTTTTTTATTTATTTATTGCATTAAACAGTCACAAAACATGTTTTTAGCAAGGGCGAATACAATATAAATATATACAAAATAATTCATCAAGTGTTGTGCATTGCCAGACAATAAAATAAAGTAAGTCATATAAAGTAGAATAAAAATATCAGTTCTTATTATCTAGGGTATCAATTATTGCTGTAAAAACAACCTAATTATGTAAATAGTTGATTTAATAGAAAATTATTTTTACTTTGAAAATCTGGATTTATTGTAAAATTTTTAATATCTTCTAAATTGACTCATAGTGAAGCTATATTGAATCTGATAATTCACATAAATCTAGACATTCATATGAATATACTTCTTACTTCACTGTCCATCTTACGGCTCTAAATGAATTATATTATTTTTAGATATAAAATTTAATAGAAGATTATTTTTCCTTTGAAAATCTGGACTTATTAGAAGATTTTTATCATTTTCACAATCAAGATCTATGAAATTGTTTAGGAGTATCATCTTCTTTTTGTTTAATTTAATTTTAGTAAAAAAAAAATGGTTTTAAAAATTATCAGGCCTTAATTTAAAATTATTTATTGAAATATCTTTATAAATTACATTAAAATTCATTTTTATTTACATTCGGTACAACAAATAAGGTTAAGTTGGACATAACTAACAAAATAAATAATTTCATAACATTGAACAAAGATTGGCAATGAAAACAAAAAATTAAAATACATAGCAACCAAAATTATTAAAAAGTAATTACAATTTAAAAATTCCTTCAATAAAACATAATTATTGTAAACTTTTTCAGAACTCTAATTAATAATAATAAATCATTGAACTTTTTCAGGTATTTAAAGGTTCAATTTACTCTTCCATTCGCAGCGGTTATTTTTTTCATCGAAGCAAGTATGATGAGGACAGGGCTGATGATGTAACTCACTGAAGCTACCGTCGGGACCTTCAGAACACATAACAAATCCGCAAGTTTCTGGATTTCGGACGTTTCCAGCTTTGGTGCACAGATTAGAAGTTGGTTCTTCAGAATAAAAATCATTGGGCTCTTCTCTATTACGTTGATCACCTTCTTTAGGATTATTTTCCGCGTCGTTTGAGGAATTTTCGTCCTCTGAGCCATTACTACCCTCTTCTGCACCACCCTCAACGCTTCCCGGCATTTCTTCTACAGGATTACCATCATCAACAACTTCGTCAGTATCACTCGGCTCCATGGACATAGGAACGTCAACATCGACGAACCCAGCTTTGAAGTACAAAAATGATGGTTAGTTTAAATAATTGAATTGAAGCTTATTACTTATTTAATAAATTACTTACAGTTATCATCGGAAGGGTAGGCCGCGGCCAAACAAAGAGTCGCCAGAAGAATAATGAAACGCATCTGGAATGAAAATATAATGATCAGTTAATCTATTTCTTCTTTCTAACCTAGTCGATTGAAACAAGGCAAGTTTTATTAAAAGTAACTAGTTTTTGGAATTTAACGATGGATAATTAGCAAACAATTAACTAACCTTGTTGCTCAGAAGTAACCTGCTGATGTGATAAATTCCCAGGGTGTCCCGCACTATTTATACAACTCGCTATCATATTCGCGAGGATGGCGAAAACAAGATTTATTAATGATTGCAATAGTCCACATATCGGTATTTGTTCAATCAAATTTATTTCTTTTTACAATAAAATACTTAACTCCATCGAAATTGATAACCGACAGATTGATTTATTGGATTTGTTCTTGTTGGTTGATAAATTAACTATTAAAGATTTGGAGGTTAAAAAAATATTTATTTATTTAATTTGTTCTAGGCGAGAGAGAATAATTAACAACCGAAACCGCAACAGTGGATCAAAAAATTGTAACTTTGAGCAGAGAGGACTTTTAAAGTTAAGATTGTTTTAAGGGTCAGTTGCAGAAGGGCAGCCATTGTTGTGATTGTTATCAACCGAAAAGCGTAAGTCGATTGTAAACATATGACACGCGCAGGTGTGCAGCGTAAACATGTTTATGAATAATAGCAGTCAAATATTATAAAATAAATACAACAGGTGCGCGAGTGATTTAATTGCGTAAGTTTGTTATCTTATAAAAATATAGTTTTATAATGTTTTGATTTATTGTTTGAATCAATGTTAACCTACAAACGCGATCAAAGTAGAGACATATAATTTTACAAATTAAAAAATTGATGTATGGAAATTTATTTTTAACCCAAGGAAATTCTTAACTTTGAAGAACAACATTGAGAGTCTTTATCAACGGATAACTTTCTCTACAGATGCCGTGGAAGTCATCAGTTTCGACACTCCAGACCATGGCGCCTCCTAGGCCCTTTTCCTTGGCAAACTGAGCCTTGGCTTTTATTGACTCAATATTGTCGAAGCTGATCCACTGGTGCCCTCTGTAGCCCCAGGGGACTCGTCTTTCTTCGTCGAAGAAGAAATTCCAGCCGCCATATTGTTGCATCTCGCAGATTTCATTGTACCCGAGTACTCCTCCGGACTGGGTGTAGGGACCAGGATCACCATAACCTGAAGTAGCAGCTCCAATTCCGTTGTTTCCAGGATTTTTCAGTGTAAATGAGTGTCCGTAGGTTGGAACTCCGAGGATTAACTTCTCCCTAGGCGCGCCTTTGGATAACCAGTAGTTGACTGCTGCTTCCTAGATTTTATAAAATTGGTAAGTCTTTAATGAATAATCCCATAATAAAATTGAGATGAAATGTATTCGGCATCAAACTATTGGGAACGTGATTGGTCAAATATATCATAAGCATGAAAATATATGCAAACTCTATAGTCAGGCGCGCGCGAGCGCGCGCTAATTTAAATTCTCGTTGGGGTATAAAAGTGCGCGCGCAAATTTAAATTCTACTTAGGGTATATAATTAAATGTAACTAATTATTGACCGGGCAATATAACAATTTGATTTAAAAAAATCTAGTAATTTAATTTAATATTCAGTAGGTAATTATTAATGTTTAATTATACTTTAAATAAAAATTTAAGCGTCCAAATAAATATATCCAGTTAAAAAAAAAAATTTGGGTACAAATGTCAGAAATTCGGGAAAATTAGTCAAAAAACCTCGCCGTGTTTGCTACATTTATGATCAATTGATATAATATTAAATACTTCATAATCAATAAATAAGTATTTGTCAAAACAATTTAATATCCAAGATTAATTATTTTTGTTAGAAAAAGCATGTTAATAATTTAAATAATACTATGGTTAATAATTGGTGTTGTAAATTATCCAATGTACCTAATATTAGTATAGCTTCAAAGATTGATTTAAATATGAGTACTGAAGATAATATTGTATGAGAATACAGAACAACTAACAACAATACTTGAATTATTAACATGTCAGTGAATAGATTAGCTAATGTCCAAACTATTATAGATTTTAAATAAAAATTATTTACAAGTCTAGTAAGCATAATACTACTGGTCAGTATTTGGAACATACAAGGTTAATATTTAGTAAGTAATGTTCAATATTCGGAACAATTGGCTGTAACGTTAATTATTACAATTCAATGTTTATTATTATGTATTTTATAAACAAAAGTATTATAGTTTGTAAGTTAAAACTTTAAAAAAAAGGAAAACACTCGTTTCAGCTGATAAACTCTTCCAATAAATTTACAAATAATGCATTTATGTTAATTTTATCTAAACTGGTCAATATTGAGAGCCTTTACACTATTATAAATATAACTTTTAATATTAGCAAAATATTTATAATCTTTTAGAATCAGTGAAAAACTTTTTTTAAAGTACATTTGAAAAATTTATTTAAAATTTTTTTTTGAAATTGAATTTTTTAATAAAATTTTCTATAAAACTTTGGATTTAATTAATAATTATATTTAATTCTATAAATTAAATATGTAAAATATTTTTTTCAAGATATCAATAAAAAATTCAATCAAATTTTTTATAAAAAATATATATTTTTTTAATGTATTTATATTAATTTTATCTAAACTGTTCAATATTTGTAATCTATTTTTTTTTTAATTTAAAATGATTCATAAAAAGCTAAATACTTACAGATGTAAATTTTTGCAGGTCTTCAGAATCACCAGGAGCAGCAAACAAAGGAGCATTATGTCCAGTCTTGTGATCCCAGAACCCATGAAAGTCATACGCCATCAGATTAATAAAGTCCAGGTACTTGCTAATCTCCACAATCTCATAAGACTTAGCAGCTGAAGACTCAGCAGCAGCCACAGCAGCACTCAGTATCAATCCTTCTTGATCAAACTTCGGTCTCATTACTTTCAGAAGCTCCACAAAGTTCTGAACATCCTGGGATTTACCTCCGCGCTGGTTAGGGTACTCCCAGTCCAGGTCGAACCCATCAAAGCCCCATTGTTTGACAAACGTGACTGCGTTATCAGCGAAGCGCTCTCTGGATTCAGGATTGCTCGCCATTATTGAGTACTTCCTTGATCCTTCATTCCACCCGCCAATTGCTACCAGAGTTTTCAAAGCAGGATTCTTCAGTTTCAATTTGTTGAACCTTCTGAACCCGTCCTTGCCGTAGTTTGTAGGTAAGTCTTGCCATGGATCCAGAACTCTGATGCTGGAGCCTTTTAATCCCACGAATGTGTAGACTAAGTGAGTGCACAGGTGAGGGTCTATGTTTTCTATACTGAATCTTCCATTACCCGGGCGATAAACTGACCAGCTGCCGAAGTAACAGACAATTTTTCCTTAAAACAATTATCTATATTATTAAGAGAATAAGAAAAATTTAGGATCTCTAGATATATAATTAAGAAATGACCTTGTATCTTGTAAACTATTGACATTTTTTAAAATATAAGATAATCCTGATGTTACATTCATCGAGAACTTTCATTTGAGTACCCACATCAATTTTTCATATATTTTATATATTATATATATGTATATATGAAAAATATATAAAAATGCATGTGGGTACTCTAATGAAAGCTCTGGATGAGTGTAATATCAGGATGAGCTTATATCTTAAAAAATGTCATTAATTAAGAAATGACCTTGTATCTTATGAA